ATAAGAAAAATAGTGTTCTCTTTACCTCAGTAACCAGTATAACAAATTGAACTTGGTTGAATAATGAAGGGATTTGGGAATGTTGACCTATAATACGGCGGCCATGGGGAATAACTCTTGCTAAAATCAACTCAATGGAAACACTCTAAATCAACATGATAGCTTGCGAAGAAAAAAGGATGTAGGCGAAAATTGCATGGAGGATGCATCTCCAGTCTTGCTTCAAACGTTGGAGTTGACTAACATGTTACTGATCTGAGAACGGCTGGTTCAATTTTTTCATTAATTGGAGGACTTTATTACACATTAGCAAGATAAAATATTGTTAAATTCGCCTTAAGGAAGCCGACTATAGTTTTATTGTGTGAAAACTACAATAGCGAAACTCTTCATTTTTATACCATATATAAATTACATTAACTTCACTGTACATGCAAAGTTTGGGGGAAATCTACCGTCCAGGTATTTTTGAGGGACCGTCTCAAAATACAGGTACATTTACTATAGGATTATACAGGAAAATGCCACTTTTTAGCACTTTAAAGCAAATTATACGAATACTACAGTAGACATTTTGTTCAAACTATAATATTTGATGAGTAATACTATATTTTACAATATATGTAAGAAACACAAAATTCTACCGTCTTGTTGCCAGAGGGGGCATTTCAAAATGCAAAAATTAGCAAATTTTTAAATTACTATTTTTATAGAGTATTACAAAATATGACGTACACAGTGGATTCACGTGAAAACATGATAAAATATTGGAGATATTCTCAAATTTCTATGTTTTGAATTTCAAGAGCGTTTGTTTATTACTTTTTCCTTAATAATATTTTTATTACTCCTTTCTTTAAGGGCTACAGATTATCATAACGTCAAAAACACACTGCAACGACGTCAACCTACCTATCAATTGCAAAATCGGTTAAAAAATCAGATATATCAAATTGTAATTACATTTTTATACCTATGATTTCTTAATTTTGTTTAATTTTAATAAATAAGCAAAAAAAGTTGCATTAAAACAGTAAAAACGCTTCATTTTACTATGATGCGCGAAATATTGCGAAATGGAAACTATAGTCGGCCCCCTTAATTATAGATAACTATTGTCGGAGGGAACTTTGTAATCTTTGATTATCTATTTTCTCCAAGTGGAGAAGACTCTCAAAAACAAAAAGAACGACATCAGAAAGCGCTGTAGGGTAGCACTTTTATTGGACGTTGACTTGCATCATTTCGAAATATGGAAAGACCTAAACGAAGGAATAGACAATAAACAAGATGATATATAAGTGTTTGATGACAGGAAGATAGTTAAGCAATTAAAAATGTATAATAAACATTGTAAAATAATATCAATAACAAGTATGCTTAAATTATTAAGATTTTATTACTATAAATGCATAATTTAAAAATTTGTTGTAATAAATATTACATTGAACAAAATTGTTCTCTTTAATGTAATGATTATTTTCTTGTCTGTAGGAGAAACACCTGCAAAAATATGCAAAAGGAATCAATAGTTCTTTATACCAATGAGCTGACAAGGAATAAAAATAATAAAACTTAAAGAAGGATAACAGCATGAAAAAAAAAATGTTGGCATAAACTACCAGTGTTTTAAAACGCATTTTGTTCTATTGTTTAATTCTGAGGAATAGGATTAATAATTTTTTTTCGAGTCGGAATATTATACATTTATTGCATGATAGTGAGGGAAATATGAAGACTTATTCAGCCAAGAAAAATCATATTCCCCGAGGGCTTGATGTGATATTTCTTGGCTGAATAAGTATTCATGTTTCCCGAACATTCATGTAATGAATTGTTTATTTTACCGAAACAAGGAAAAACTTTGAAATAAAAATAAACTTTCAAATTCGGCACCGCTCTCAAATTCACTTTCATTTTTAACGTACTTTTGACACATAGACCGTTTCACGGTAACTGCAGTACTGCTCTTTTGCAGGGCAAAATGATATATTTTGGTGAAATATGACGTAAAAGTAATTGTTTAAAATACGTCATTTGATTATATATCAACAAAAACACCGCCAAACGTTATTATACCTCATTATAAATATTCTAAACAACGCGTTATCTGATTGGTTCTAATTTATCACGTGATCGGGCCGTAAAACTTCATATTTCCCGGCCGTTGGCTCGCTTTTCATCATATTCCACCTCTTCGGAACACTAGTGTATTTTCCCGCAATATAGTTCTCGTTCGTTGAACGAAAACTCCCGAGAGAAGTAGACGTCACAATGGCCTGGAGCGGGATTCATGAAGACTTTTAGATTTTTCTTAAAATTTGTACTTAGGCATTGAAAAAATTCTTAGCTAAGAAAAATTCTTAAGTTTTAATTCATAAAGATTCTAAGTACAATTCTTAACTAAGATTTATTTTAAGAAAAACAACATACTTAAGTCAAAGCTCTATGACAACACTAGCAATTTGCCGTAGTTTTTTCAACAACAAACGCGCTCTCTTGTGAAGGAGATAATCAATTCAATTGACGTGACGTAATATTAGCAGACGGGAAAAATGGAATCGCAGACAAAAAAGGAAGCCAAATTGGAATGCCGATGAAACCCTTGCTTTGACTAATTTGGTTGACGAAAATAAGCATATTCTTAGAGGGAAGTTAGGTCCAACACTGACGTCGGACATGAAAACTCGGACGTGGCAAAGCATTACACAAACACTGGCTGCAATGGGCGTTGGTCCGGCTAGAACAGCTGCAGAGGTGGAAAAAAATGGCACAATATTTTTTCCAAATCGAAATCAGAAATATCTGATCACAGGCGAGCTACTTCTGGGACAGGTTGGTCATTACACACACTTTCACTTGATCCGCGATCGTGTTCAACTCAATCATGTCTGTGTATTAGAAAAGATTGAAATTTCTGCAGTTCGGTTTTTCCGCATACATTCATATAGTTTACATGTAACCAAGGAGAGATAAAAGGGGAATAACCCAAAGTAAAATATTTTCATTATTTTGGGGTGCCCCACAGGATAATATCAATAGAAGTAATATCTGATCATCTCTTTTCATTCAAAATGTTAGACTTATCAACTCACAATTCAAAATCAAGGTGAAAAGTGTTTTTATTCATAATACTTAAACATTAGGAAAGGTAAATAAAGAGTGGGGGAAAATTATGCTGAATCAAATATTTGTATTTTAAAGGTGGTGGTCCTCCTCCAAAAGCACTAAGTGCAATTGCTGAGGCTGTGTCCAGTGTTGTGGGGGAAAATAACACTTGCCTGACTGGTATTGGAGGAGGTGCAGACACTATACTCATACAGCTAGGTCTTCTAGGAGAGGAACCATTGTAAGTATAAATGAGGATATGCAAGTATTTAAATTCTAATTTAATAGAATCATCAATAGATGAAGGAAAATGTTGTTTCCACCTTCAGGCTTTAAAAAAAATATTGAAAGTAGGTAGGCAATTTTAAATTATTTTTCTTTAAATCTTTGAACTGAATTAAACAAATCTAGGTTTACACCAATGAAAAAAAAAGCAAATAATGACATAGAAAAATTGTCATAAATTTTATGTTAAATAATAATTAAGCTTATAGCACAAATACATTATCATAAACAATTATGGGTGATAGACAATATTCAAGTTTTATCAAAATAGATTATACAAAGTAATTATATCCCTTTTTCTTCCTTCATGGATCTCCTGGCAGAATTCAAAATTATTTAATATTAATGAATGTTCACAAACTTTATTAGGAAAAAATGTTTCGTGAAAATAGAGAAATATTACAAAAATTAAAATTGATTATTTTCAGGGGCATTCGTGTTATTGAAGGACATCCGACACAGTGTCATGTTTTGCGACTCCATCACCACCTCCTATCCTAGTCTCAAGGACCTCCAGCACTTCTGGGAGTATAGACCTAAAGAGAAAAATTGATGAACTTACTGTGAGGAAGTTGGAGCTCGAGGTGGAATATTATACGCTCAAAATCAAGAAAGCAAAGGGGGAAGAGTAAATCACATAATATTAGCTGCGATTATCCCTTATTTGCATTGGACTTCAAAGCCTCAAATATATGAAAGGAAAAAATGCAGAATAAACTTGTAAAGTAATTTAATGTTATTTTTTTCGTATGTATTTTCCAGAATTGTTATCTATCATTTAAAATGTTATAAAATAAATATTTATCTTGAAGTATTTGACTTGTGTGCACACTTTGTTGATGTATATATCACACAAAAAATTTATTTTACGTAAAATTGGATCTTTAAACCCATCACTTGAAATATGAATTCAGAATTTAAAAAATGTTGCAATTTTTATTAAAAAAATAAATAAATGCACCATCCTTCTTGGTATGTTTAAAATTACTTTATAATTTCTGATTACACGAATTATTTAACTTCAAATTTTTTAAATTTTTATAATTCTTAAAGAGATGGTTTATAACCAACACATATATTAATACCTCCAGTACAGATTCAAAATAGCTGCAGATCTGCAGCTCTCCGAAAAAATATATATTGATAGACCGGAGAGCTACAGAGCCACCCAATGAAAAAACTGTATATTTATTGCGCACAAAAAAATGCGCTCGGTTCTCGATTTATTTCTCTATGTTTTTAAAGCTGTAATCTCAAAATATTACTAACCGTGTGTTCCTAACATATTCTTTGACTCTTTCCACGACAAAACATTCCTCATAATTGTTGTTAATAGTCCTCCTGGTCCTGATATTGCAATCATCGGACATTTCGCTTATTTATACTGCCATTTTGGTTTCAAAGATAATTCGGTCCGATATGCTTCGTTCAGATGTCAACTACGAGAGAACTTGATAGAGGAGGGAGTAATTTTTTGAAATCTTCCATTTTTTGAAAAATTAATCAACAATCGAGCGCACTTTTTTGTGCGCAGTAAATATACAGTTTTTTCAAAGGGTGGCACTGTAGCTCTCCGGTCTATCAATAATTTTTTCTGCAGCTAAGATTCAAAAGTGAGTGTCAGCAAACAGTTTTCTGTATCTTGTTCCATCATGATTGCAGTTGTTGTTGTTGGCATTTACAATCTGTTGATGATCATCCTCTTCCCCATCTTCATCACCTGGCAGGGGGCATGCAATAATACGGTCCTTGCAGATGTTGTGAAGGACGGAACAGTCTAATATCACCTGGCATGCATTTTCTGGTGAAAGGCGGATCTCACCATGCAGGACATGAAATCGCCTCTCGATCAGCTCTATCCCTCTCTCCACCACACTTCTCGTCTTCTTGTGGGCTCTGTTTTAATATCCATATTGAAAAAGTTTAGAATAAAACAATTTCTTAGTATTATGATGAGGTAATAGTTCTTAAATTTTAAGCAGGTTTGATTTTCTTTTTTTTTTCCAAAAAAATTTCAATTTTGAGAATATTGTGAATAATTAAGAAATAAGTCTTAATCATTCTAGCTCTTAACTCAACAGTAAAACTTAGTAAAATTAAGACACAAGTATTTCCAAACTTACCTATTTTCATCAATTTAAAATTTTAAGTGGAAAGGGTACAGGGCCCATACAAAATTTAAGGGTCTATTAACTATTGAGGGGTATATACATGTACATGTTTCTAAGCTTCTGTCATTTACAATATTTAGTATTCATATGTAACATTCATGTATACTGCAGAGAAGTAAAAATAGTTTTTTTTGTTTTTTTTTATTTACTATTTGGATCCACCTCGTAGATTTGTCTACAAGGGGGCGCTGGACAAGAGAGGGCGCTCGAAATGACCTAAAACGAAAGTAGCCTAAGTTACAGTTGTTCGTGAATTTTAATTTTTTAACTTCTAAATAGCTAAAGCAATGACAATGTTGTAGAAATTGGCTAGAGAATAATATTCATTACCTGTTGTAATTCGTCTGGGAGCCCTGATTTGGTCGCAGAAACGGAGTTAATAGCCAGCGTTTGGAGGGGTAACCACTGTCTCCGAGTAAGTGAGTATGGACAGGGAGATGATTTTGCTCAAACAACACCTTGAGACCACTCTCATTAAGGATGCGAGAATCGTGTGTTGACCCTGGCCATTTAGCAACAACATCAATTATTCTGTAGTTTGGATCAAAAACAACCTGAGTGTTACTGCTATGAAAGTGGTGTCTGTTTACATATTCATTTTCTTACTCACGTGGGGCATAAATCTGAACGTGTCACTGTGTGCCGTCGATAGCCCCTACAACGCCTGGGAATCCAGCAAATGAGCAAAAATCTTCTTGGTTTTTACGTATGGCCGCATGATCCAGTGGAAATTTAATGAATTGTGCAACAATTCCGGGGGAAGACAGACTTTTAATGGTTGCAGTGATAGCCCTAGACACAGTAGGCTGTGAAATTCCCAAATCGTCTCCATTGCATAGCTGCATTTTTCCGGTGGCAAGGAATCTGGAGTCAGCAAAATTTTCTGTACTGGGGATATAGCATGATTTCTCCTTGAACTACTTACAATTTCATGTCCAATTAACCTTTCTATAAAAAGAATGCCAGCAGAATCCAATCTAAATCTTTCAACAAGTTCAGCATCACTGTATACTGGTAAACAATCCTTTCTTTCCCTAAAAACCCTTCTATGTAATCTAATGGCAGCCATTTTTATTCAGTACTTAAGTTTTTCTTAATATCACTTTAAGACTACTATTTAGGACTCTTAGATTTAAGAACCACTTAAAAATTTTCTTTAGAAGTTTTATGAATAAAACTTAAGCTAAAAACAAAGTCTTAGTGTTATTTAAGTATTTTTTATTGGTTTAAGAAATTTCTCACACTTAAGTTCATTTTAAGTCTTTATGAATCCCGCCCCTGGTTTACGTCACAAAACTGATGATATTGTGTTGACCAAAGGGTTTTATAGTAACTTAAAGTAAAAAATGAAAGTTCTATTCATCATATACTGAAAATGCATTAATTCTTTGAAAATCTTCTACTCTGCTCCTGGGTATTAAATAAACTAAGTACATAGTTATGATGCGATAAAGTACTTCTTCCTAAATTATGAATTTTATGGCCCCTCATGGGTTCTGGTGTTAGGGCGGGGCTCTATTGATTATATTGAAAAAACATTATTCTTTGAAAATCTTCTTCTCTGCTTCTGGGTATTAAATAAACTAAGTACATAGTTATGATGAGCAAGAGTGCCACTTCCAAAATTTTGAATTTTATGACCCCAGGGTCATGGGTTCTGGTGTTAGTGCAGGGCTTTATTGATCATATAGTGAAAATGCATTTATTGTTTTAAAATCTTCTTCTGTGCTTCTGAGTATTAAATAAACTAACTAAGTACATAGTTATGATGAGCAAGAGTGCCACTTTCAAAATTGTGAATTTTATGGCTCCAGGGTCAGGGGATCTGGTATTGGGACGGGGCTCTATTGATTATATAGTAAAAATGCATCAATTCTTTGAAAATCTTTTCCTCTGGTCCTGGATTTTATGCCAATGAACCAAGTATACATGTATATATTTATGATGAAGAAAGGTGCATCTAGTAAAATGTTTCTTTATGCCCCTTGGGTCGGGGGGGGGGGGGGGGGGTTACATAGTTTGAAAATAAATTAATGGTTTGAAATCTGCTCTTTAGTATTAATCAACCATTTGATGATAAAATTTGCAAAATTTTGAAATATGTGACCCCAGGGTCAGTGGTTCCTTTGGGTGAGGTGCAAAACTAGTTATAAAGTGGAAGTGCATTTTCTCTTTGTTACTCAGATCTACCTCTGGGTATTAAGTAAATAGAGTAAGCATGCTAAGTTTATAATTATGATAAGCAATGGTGCCTCTTTCAAAATTGTGAATTTCGTGGCCTCTGGTTTAAAACACGAACCAATTTTAATTGTTTGAGAGATGTTACACGATACTCAGGTGACCTATAAGGCCCATGGGCGTCTTGTTTTTTAGCTCTACTGGTCAGAGACCAGAAGAGCTTATGCGATAGTAATGCGTCCGGCGTCCGTCCGTCTGTCCGTCTGTCTGTCTGTCTGTCCGTCTGTCTGTAAACAATTTTTCAAAATGCTACTCCTCCTACAGTTTTGGTCTAATTTCAATATAACTTGGCACACAAGTAGACTACACTAAGATACATAATTCTGTGTATCAGTTTTTGATTTCGATGAACGGTGTTGCCGTGGTTACTAAAAATAGAAATTTCTGTGAAATTCTTTCAAAACGCTACTCCTCCTACAGTTTTGGTCTGATTTCAGTATAACTTGGCACACAAGTAGACTACACTAAGATACGTAATTCTGTGTATCGGTTTTTGATTTTGATGAACGGTGTTGCTGTGGTTACTAAAAATAGAAATTTCTGTGAAATTCTTTCAAAATGCTACTCCTCCTACAGTTTTGGTTTGATTTCATTATAACTTGGCACACAAGTAGAATACACTAAGATACACAATTCTGTTTATCGGTTTTTGATTTCGATGAATGGTGTTGCCGTGGTTACTAAAAATAGAAATATCTGTAAAATTGTTTCAAAATGCTACTCCTCCTACAGTTTTGGTCTGATTTCAATATAACTTGGCACATAAGTAGAATACACTAAGATACATAATTCTGTGTATCGAATTTTAATTTTGATGAACGGTGTTGCCGTGGTTACTAAAAATAGAAATGTCTGTAAAATTGTTTCAAAATGCTACTCCTCCTACAGTTTTGGTCTGATTTCAGTATAACTTGGCACACAAGTAGACTAGACTAAGAACATAAAGAGACTTTATCAACGATCATTATTCTATTTAGTTTCAAATCCCAGCTGCTTAAGTACTTTTCTCTTCCTTTGCTATAAGTTCAAACCAGTAGAGCTTCAGTCTCGACAGAGACTTCTGGTTTCAAGATAGTGAAGGACATATTATTTAATAATTTTTCCTTTTCAAGTGCTAGTTTTTATACAATTGATAAAAATGTTTCCAAATTTTCATTGTAAACAGTATTTACTATTTATTATTATTATTTTTGGGGGGGGGCATGCAAGTAAGATTTAAGTTTTCATGAATTACATGTGTTTTGTCCCCCGATTTCGCGAAAGCGATGAGACGTTAAGGGTTAAATTGTTGCGTATAAACTGGTTCAGGTTTTGGTTTATAGTTTGAAACTAGTTTCCAAACTGGTTTCTAACGTCCCTCTCGAGAAATCGTCACTCATATGAAGACGCCACCACTTGCCGGTGTAGAGCTAAAAATTGTGTCCTTTACTCGAGACTCAAGGGCCATGGAGCAGTGAGGGATCTTTTTCGTGCTAGCATCTACTGCGAAACGGGCCCTCGGTTTTCACCGTCACGGTCTCAACCAATCAGTCTCCATGTCCCATAGTGGGATTCGAGCCCGCGGCATAGGATCAACTGATTTTTCGCGACACACTCTAACCACTGTGTCAAGCGGGCCACGGGGTACGTTAAAGAAGATACAACCATCTAGTTTAAAAAGGGTAAAGAAAGCAAACTGAATTGCAGCACCATAATTAAATTTCTAACAAAATCATCCGGAGGGGGGGGGGGGTTGTGTTCCATTTTTTAACAAGAATCAAAGTGCATAGGACTTAGTTGGCGGTGGAGGCATAAGATGGATACCTAATTTTGGGTAGTTAATTTTAAAATGAAGAAAATGAAATGTATTTCAGCACTAATTATAATTTTTTGAAGACAACAACCTTCCAATATCTACCAGTGATGACTTAAATTGAAGACATATTTCCTCTATCCACCAGGGATGACATCTAAGCTCTCTAAAACAGACTGGATGATCATGAAGGAAGAAATTTCCTGCAAGGGCGGAAAGCTGTCTCCCCGACTTTTACCGTCAGTCCTCCGGCGGTGAAGGGGTTGTGGACCTATTGTTTCTTTACACGCTTTTCATGACAAAACGCGGGAACGGCGAAAAACAATATTACAGAATTGGCTAAAAAGAAGTACAGTAACTTCATTCATGCGAGTGTAATGCAACGTTCTGTTTTCTACTGACAGTGCAAACTGCACATTTTACAAGTACAATGGTTAAAATTACACCACATTTACCATGCAAATGTTTCTATACATTAGACTTAATAACGGATATCCATTTGTCATATGAACTCTCTGATGTTTTCACATAATTAAAAAGATTGCTCTTATTTATTTTGCACGTTTTCGTCAACAACAGGAAAATTATAA